CAAACACCTGGCAGAGATACAAGGGGTTTCCTTCATTGGAAAGATGCTGAAAACAGCAAAAGGCATCTAAAGCCATTGGTCAAACATCAATGACTCATTCTATGTGGGCGGATGAGATTACAATCCTACTTTAGCCTTCAGCCTACAACTATATCTGGGTTTGGTTCTGGTTTTAAAAACCACCGAATCCAATCACAAAACTACAGACTAGGGTTAGCATCAAACAAGACCACACGGTTTTAAAGGAACTTTCTTGGAAAACATCTGCATCAGTCAAAAAGATGTTACTTCACAACACTTACCTATCTAAGTGATTGTGAGTATTTAAGACTATTTTTAAACAGTGTTCAAACTTCTAAAAAGATTTATCAGAAACTTTTAAAATGAAGGCTATTTTAACAAGTATTCAAATTATACAGTTTGATTTTTCAAGAAGCCTATCCACGACAACAGCTGAGTCGTGTTTTAATGCTCAATGCAACTATTGCCAAGTAGCTATGGCAACAACGAATGGATATTTCAATTAAGAGGGCACAAAGATTGAAAACCTAAAATAAAAGTGAAACAAGCACGGCTACCATATTTTAAAATGCCTTGAATATGAACGGTGTTCTGTGTCTGCCCCGTTAACTTCAGTTTGAATCAAACCTAACGGAAGTAACACACCTGTAATAGCGCGATTCAACATTTTCTTAGCTAAGTTAAGCTAACACGTGAGTTTGTTGCCAAGACAACCGTCTACTTCGAGTAACGATAAACGGTTAACGTGAGTTAAAAGCGACACGGAGATTTATTTAAACAAGGAATAAACTTTAACAACTTTGAGAGAAAGCACACAGCTGTCAGTCCCGTTGGTTTTGACGGCCGCTAAATGGGCATGTCCCGACATTCCTCCCACAAACTGCCACCAAACTCCGGTGAAATTTCACCTACTTTCAAACACCGGTGAACCAACGCCTGCGGGTCAACGACGTCGACACAAACAGCTCGTGAGTATTTTTGAAATCTTACCTGATTAATGTCATGGAGATTAAGTGCCAAGAAAAGTTTTCCCAGTCTTCCAGCAGCGTATCTCCACTCAAACTCAGTCCCCACTTGATCCACCAAGGTAGGCTACGGGACGCCGGGCTCCTCCCCCTCCTCCTCCACGCATGAGGTCATCTGAAGGGAGGCTCATCAACTCGGGGCAGGGAACCAAGACAGTATCCCCTCCTTCCTCCCCCTCTTTTTCTCCTCTTCCTCATGTGTTTGTGCATGCCTCATAGTCATGACATGAAACAAAATGCAAAAATACTTTAAACAAGCCATTTTTGTTTGTGTTTTTTTTTGATTTGTCATATTCTCATTATTCAACCACCTGTTTAGTTACTATCGTTTTTTTCTGGTTTTGAGTCAGACTGAAATTTACAGTGATGCCTTTTTGCAACCTACTTAAGTCATATTGACCATCAGCTGCAAAGTTTACTGTTTTTTAAATGTAATTTTTAACACCAATAACTAATGTTAGGAGGTAGCTATGTGTAAGACCAGGTGATTGATTGCAAAATGGAAAAATAACACTTATTCCCCAGCAGGCAAGAGTATGAGTGATACATTTGACTGTTAAAAGACAGCAGGGTGAGATTTTTGGCAGAGAACATTATTTACACAAGGACCAGACCACCAACAATACAAAGGGGGACACTTTGTCCACAAGGGGCTCCAAAATCAGCACAGGAAATCAGCATAGGAACTTAAAATGGTGACATCTGCAGGAGCAGTGCTTTTAAGGAATTTCCTGGTTACAAAATAACACTCTAAAAGAAACTTCCTTGAAGCCCAGTATGTTTTAAATCCAGTGATTAATGCCAGATTATTAGGGACATTACAAAATAATAAAGTGGCCGTGTGTGGTTTCAATATCAGGGATAAAAAGATACACCATGTGATTTATTTTAAAGTGCAAAAAGGTGTGAATTGGGCCTTTTGCTGACTGTTTTGTCACACATGATGTTACTCATGCTGGCAGTTTATCTTTTTCACAGAAGAAGGCACACTTGATGAAAATCAGCCTTAACACACTGACGTCAGTAATAAAGCATAAGTCCTTTGTGTATTATTATACGACAAAGTTCCAGTCCTTACTTGGTTCAATCCTGTTTGCATGTTACTATGACTGTCAGAAAAAAATGCCTCTTCATTAAAAATTGACTTTTGATATAGCTAAATGGAAACTGAATCAACCTGTATACAAGGTATAAGTTAACCCACAATGTAATCATATTTTAATGCCGGTCTCAATTTCAAACAACCTCTTAAGGAAATTCAATGTCAGACAAAATCAAGTAAACTGTATATATCTAATATATCTAATTCTCACATTTTTTCTAGCCTCTCGTTTTTTAAAATTTTAACAGCATTTGATAAAATTCCTTTACTCAGTTTTGAAAAGGGAGTTCTCAGTCTCTAGACCTTTCTTATTCTTCCCTGTCTTTTATTCACTAAATGAATGACAGAAAACAGCAACGGATTTCATCAATGATGGAAGTACCTCTGAGCTACACCACTGATTCAGATGAAAAAAATACTTTATATGAATTTTACTCCATGTGCTCACCTTATATCTATGATTACTTGCCTTCCTGCAGCACAAGGTTTAACACATAAGATACAAAGGAGCGCATAAAACATGATGTACAGCAACATTAAACTATCAAAGTGAAGATAAAAAGCATGGCCACCTGGACTATCTGCAACATTAAAATGCTGTTTCAAATCAAAGATTTCTCACTCACATTTATGCTTAACTATAAAAGCACTTCTACTCCTAATAATAATACAGTTAAATGCCTATATATCTGTACTTATACACTAGTGAAAATACAGTTTGTGTATGATTGTAGTGGACTAATGTACCTGTTGATATTTCATTTTAATTCCTGAAAAATATAGACATCCATTGGTATTTATTTACAGCCGGATATTGTGAAACCACTGTAAACTCTTCTTAACCTGAATCCATTTAAGGAATTAAAATATCAGCTGTGATGAATAAGTATTTGCGTATAAGCTTGATCAAAATATTATCTTAAAGAAGATGCTAAAATGTTCCTAAAATGCATGTTACTCAAAGCAATATAATCAATAAGCCATTATTACCATGCCCACTATCATGCAGATAGTGAAAATTAATTCTTGCCCTCAAGGACTATCTGAGCATAGCTGGTGCAACACGATACACTTTAGCCTACAGTGACATCATGAGGTAACAACATGTAATGCATTTTGAGCAAGATTTAACCAAAGATGCATTCATCTGCAGGATAGGAAACACATTTCTCTTTTTTGTGTTGCTTATTGTTGAGTTGCAGCATGAAAAGTAGTTAATGTACAGTGAAGCTCCCAACTTAAAAAAAAGAAGTATGTTTTATGCCAGCAAACCACAACTCCTCAGTCACTCCTCTTCTTCGTGTGAGGTGGTGCAGTACAGTCAGTCCGCAGTGTTTTCTCAGCAGTGCGGATGGAGGGGGGGCTCTCAGGGGTCAGCAAGGCTCCTCAGATGGCCGCAAACAGACAGACACTGGCAGAGAAAAGCACCCCGTCTGCAAGTCAGAAGACCACCAACTGCTCCTCCTCCCCAAACAGAGCAGCAGAGGTCCCTGCACGTCACACACAGATGGTATCAAAGGCATGAGTGAACAGCATGAGCAGAACAGGGAATTTAGGGTCGAGGCATTGTGTCTACAAGGCCATCGTCAAGTAGTTTGTTGGTAAGAAAAGGGGCTGTTATTGTTGTGGAGTCTGTTGTAAACAAGACGCATACGACAGAGACAAACACTTGAATTTTCAGGATCAAACAGTAAAATGCTGTGGGATAGATGATTACTAAACTGTCCCAATTCATGGAGGTGTTGAGAGGGATGACAAAATCTTAAACTATGATTGGCAGTTTGTATCTTCAGATGTGAGAATCATATTAGGATGAACAGAGCTGCATCTAATTCTAAATAGCTCACATCCCTTTTTTAAACTGAGTATTTTTTAAGTTGAGCATACCTCCCTAAAGACTAAAACATCTGTTAAAATAATAACAGTGCATTACTCTATATTGCTGTATTTTTAAATTTATGGTAGACTGTGGTTGTCAGTTTTTCCAGTATATTGCTGTTTTTTCAACAGTAAGTGACTGCAAACCTTTATAGTTTATAACTGCAATAATACCAGTATTGGGTGAAGTTAAATAAAAAATCTGGTATTTTTCCAAATCTTACATTAAATCATAAAATACTAATCTTTACAGTACAGCAAAGTCAATGAGAGTGGTCATAGTTGCTTTAGATACAGCCTCTTGATTTTGTTATGGTGGCTTTGACATTATAGATCCTTTTTTCTCTTTTTCAATCAGTTCTTTGCAACACAGAGGTACATTTTTACACACAAAAGTCACAGGAGTAAACAGACACCATGCTACTTCCAGGCCTCTATACTAGATTTCTAATTATTTGTAAAGATAAGGCACTACCCTCTTACTGGGTTCCAGATGTAATGACATTTTCACACCTGGAAAAGGTGGGTCTACTCTGAATGGATCTACTGACAAATTTTACATTATTATTGTAGATTTTAAGGCCTGGTGGTCGTTCATCTCACACTGCAAGGACAGCAAATTAGGACAGGAAATCTGTTTACAGAGTACCTAACCCAAGTAGCAAAGGTATATGTTGTAGTGTGTGGTTATGTCTGTTACTTCAGTAATATTTTTTCCACATTTTTTTTTATCATAATTTTCTCCTGAATATGGTTTGATCGCGCACACAAATTGTGTGCCTTATTACTTATTTGTCTGCAACAGTACTGCAGTAGGATAGGCAGTGGGTTGAGAGATAGTGGATTTGCCATTTGATCAGTTTGCTTGACATGTATAGTGTTGCTTCAGTTGTGCCTAAAGGAACCCACTTACCATTAAACAAAAAAGGTCCTGTTGCAAATATACAGACTAATCAAGGCTCTTGCATTTGTATGTTTAGAACAAGCATGGCTTTGCACAGTTCTTGAAACTCATCTGGGACATTCTTCAGTGCATACATGACATGAAAGAAAGCTGTAAAGTGAGCAGGCTGAGGAATGTAGAGTAGGAACTAGCTGTTTATAATCCTCTTCTCTTTCTTCCATCTCATTTATAATTCACCCAAGGCATGTTTTTGTTAATACTACTTAGAGATCTTAAATTCCTAGAAAATTACGACAACCTCACTGTCCCTGTCTGTCTGGGACATAGCCATAGTCATACAAAATATACAACGTGTATTGTCTTTCAAGTTTAGGGGAAAATGACTGGAACATAATGGGACACCCAGGTGTGTTTCAAACAGGCATGTGCTGACAGGATTACTAGCTTGCGCATCATTAAACTTTTGGGTGGCCGAGTTGTCAAATGTATGGAGAGGCCTTGCACTGTACATGTAAAATGTTTTCACTGAGAAATGTTGCAACGTGAAATCCCCTCTGTAAATGTGACGTTTTTGAAAACAGTGTAGGATTTCAAAATAAGAGTTGACCCCTTTTCTTTGAAAGCTGTTCTTGATAAGTGTTTGAGTAATATACCCTCAAGCAATGTCTTTGTTTTTTGTTGAGTGACGAGACCTGAGAAGAGTTTATGGGAAATTCCCAGGACCTCTTCCAGTCAGACAGTTTTACAGCAGGTTACTGTCAAACAGGGATCATACCTGACAACTTTGAGTTTGAAAGGGATACATAAAATAATCCTTTAAGCAAAACCACATTTTTTTTAAATCCTTCAACTGAGGATCAGTTGTAGCATTGCAGGGGTGATGTGTAAACACAAATTAATGCTAAAAAATGTTACCAACTTAAACCTTTATGGGTTATATATTTGGTTTAAGAACAAGAGCCTTTTAAGATCATGAACAGCCATATACTGCCATCTAGTGGTCACACAGGCTAATTGCCGAATAAACAGATCCACAATCTAGAAATACCATGCAATATATTTTTTATTAAATCTACTAAGTGCCAAGCATTATATAGTAAAGATTTCACTGGAAAAACTGTCTCACAAACATCACTTTACAACCCCCCGCCCCCAACAATTAACATACCCAGAATCCATCTGTTTTTCCATCAGCTGGTAAACACAACTACACCACTTTTCTCACAACACTAGAAAAGTAACATTAAATGCTGGTTTATGGAGTTTCACAAAGAAGAACAGCTTGGAAAAAAGGTCTTGACTCTCTAGTAGGTAAATATGAAGCTTAATAAAAGCTCTTCTCCCTCAACACTGACACTTCACAAACAACCTGTCAGTCCCCCTCCTCTTATGTCCAACACTTCATGTTTGTCTTTCACAGTTGACTTTACAGAATTCCCTCTGGGCTTTTTTTCTTTCCCCCACAGACACGCATTCTTCACTGCTTCCTTGGCTGCTGGATAAAAAAGGTCCGGGGGAAGTGGGGCTTCTCCACCGCAGGCCGCACTTTGCTGTGCCTCACGCTCACAGGCGTCTCTGGAAAGTCATGGCTCAGCTGTGAAACAACAGGAAGGAGTTTATTACCCAGAAGGCTCTACGGCATGAGGAGTGACTTTCTCAACTGGAAAGTTTGTGTTTACCTTGTCTAGAGTTCCTGACAGGAGAATGCTGACTTGTTGCATCCTGTTGGAGGTGGCTAGGGACCTGCTGCAAGATCACAAGAGCAACTTTCAAAACAAGAAAATGAGTTTGTCATTTTATGAAACCTTTGTTCTTAATGCAAACTGTAGGCCTACCTCACTTTGTCAGACTTCTTGGCATCCTTCTCTGGAGTCCCATGGGTGCCACTGTCTTCCAAGCTTTTCTTGGCCACTCGTTTACCTCCAGCCTTTACTATTAGACAAGAAAATAAGATGGTTTTAATAAATATTCCTTTAAAATGCACTGATTAAGTGGCAGGTATGTGCAGGAGACCCCAACCCCTCTCTCTTTAGGTATGGAAAAATCATCTTTTGTGCTAAGTTTATTAGGCAGAACAAAATAAAAAACAAAACAAAAAAAAAGAAGCAAAAAATTCACCCCAGACGGTCTATAGTGACATAGTTTTGCAGTAGCAACAGTTCAAGTAGAGGGACTGGCCTACATTTGACTGCCCTTTGGGTCAGGGTCTGGGGAAAAACAACCTTTGGGTGAGGGGAAAAAAACACTTGCAGGACAAAAACCAGCCTGTGATCTCTTCTTTGTTTTTTTTTCCCCTTTCAATTTTAATCGACTATTGAATTCATTCTAATGACTATCAACATTTAAAAATTGAAAAATGTCGTGTTTACACCAAAGCAAACACTCGAGATTTTAAGTCACACAGTTGGACTTTGTCACATTTTAAAGCATCACATGTGATAAAGATACAGCGCAGATGATGCAGCATCTTTAACGTGAAAATTCATTTCTTATAAATCCAATATTGCTTCCTTAACAAAACAAATCAAATTAAAAATGGACAGACAACAAAATAATGGAGAAAAACCATCATAGAAATGCCTCCAGGAACAGTCTGTTCCCTCAGTGTAAATCTGAAAGCACCGAAATGAGCCAACATGAGGATTTATTCTGTGAGAACACTGTGTTACTTTCACGAGGGGCCTGCACGAGAAGAAGGCGTGTGCGTGAATCACGGCTGCAGAGGCTACACGCCACCGATGCAATTAATAAAACCCAACTAATCCACGAACCACTCAGAAATCTCTCTTTTAAGATGAAAATAAAGGATCTTGCATACTGTAGCGTTGAAAAGCACCTAAAATACTAATGCTGACTTTCACTGTGCACGGCTCTGTGCATGCGTCGAGCGCTGCAAAACAACATCGCTTTGTCTGAATGTGGAGAAAAATCCCAACAATTCACCATTTGTGCAAATAAAATGGTTTACCTGCTGGGGGGTGTCCAGCCTTTAACAAAGGCGAGTCCTTCGCTCCGGATTTGGACAGCTGCTGCACCATTTTTCAAAGTTTTCGGAGAATAGCAAAGAAAGCACAAAACTCTTCTTCACAACGCCCACATCGATGTTTTTATGCTCAAACAGACATGACGTAGAGCTGCGTGCTCACCGGAAACTCGCAGGCAGAGACACACCCCTTTGTTTTTTACCCACTCATTTTGAACTCGGATTCAAATGTATGCACACTGCAACAGCGAAAAAATGTCACTTATCTACCAATTCACTAAATTCGTCCATATTTTGGTACCACTAGGTCTCACTTTGGCCAAACATGAGCTTCATATCGCAAATACGTCATTCAGATCAACATTAGGCAGCCCACTGATGAATAGCTGGGTGCAGTTTTGAGGCACATGAACCCACTGTGCATGTATTCCACTTGATGCCTTTTGAACTGTACAACGACATTTTGACCGGACTCCATTTTTAAAGATACCTTCAGTTGCAGTAGAAACAAAAATTGTTAGGGGCAAGCATGAAAACTTTAGCATTTGATGACAATGAAAAAGCACAAGCCTAACTTTGAAGGGATATTCAAGCGTAAATTTAAGTTAGGGTTAGAGAGTGGGTGAGTTGTATTTAGTCTCTTTGCTAAAGAAATCAGGCAAAGCTTAAAAGATGTTTGGTGGCTAATACTATGGCTGGGACCTTATATGTACTTTTGATGAAGTTAGGTGCTGTTCTGAGCATTATTTGTGGCTATAGAGTGGCTTTTTGGTTGAGCGCGTGGCTCTCTGTATTGCTATCGTGTTGTCGTTACTAAAGTTGGTATAACTAGAGAAGCAGGCGGTCGGCAACGTTCATTTCTTGAGGGGGTGTCTAACTCAGTGTTGCGGTGTGTTTGACCCTAACTTAATTTTATTCTGGAATATCCCTTTAAACAGTGGTAGGTGATGCTTCTATTCAAAATTACAACTTGATCCCCTGACTTGCATCTTACTGCATTAAAAATAGGCATACTTTTTAGCATTTTTGCTGAAGTGGTTCAAAACTTGTCATGCAGGATTTTTACTTGATACCTACTGTGGTACATCTACTTCAACACTACATTCAAGATAATGTAGGTCAGTTACTTTTTGAAAACAAACAAAAACTTTGCACATTGTGTTTCAAAGTCTTAAAAAAACAGCAGATACTTCGGCAGTTAATTTTCTGATCTGAACAGCCTGGGAATGATCAGGTCTTGTCAGTTACAAACACTTGCACATGCCGAGTCAACCTTAAATGGAGTGAGAGGCACACTTGTTACAGAGAACATGAACACACAAAAAGCATATTCTGTAGAGTTAAGATGTGCGTAAGAAAAGCCCCATCAAAACACGTATCCTTGAAATGGAAATTTGAGGAAGAATTGATGAGCTTTGCTGTTGTGATAGTGGAATTATCTTGGTTTACAGGTTTTTTTTCCATGAATGAGGCGAACTGATTTCCCTATGAATCCAGCCTGCAAGCTCAAACTTGTTATGATTTGAGGGCCTTGTTGTTGTGTTGTTCTGGCTGTTGATCGGCCTTTAATTAGAGTTTGGCAAAGTTAAATGTTTGCTGTGATAGTTAGTGTAACTCCATGGACAAAAAGTCCTCAGCTGAAAGATTTATTTCATGAGACTGTGCAGAAACAGGTCAGACAGGTTAGTCAGTGTCTTGATCAAACACAGATTCAACACCTGTGTGTTTGAGGCTGAGCTCAACAGTTAGGAGTGCTTTTTAATCGTCATTTCTGCAATGATGTGACTCTGTGCTGCACCACAGACTTTCATAATTATTATATTAACAGCTTGAGGATTTCAGGCTCCATTTGGCTTAAATATGGTGGAGGATTGTGTTTAAATTTGCATTGTGTCTTACATAATACTGATGCTAACAGAATAAAAAGTATACTTAAACACTGCATTGGAACTAACATTCAGATATTGTTCACTTAACAGCAGAGAACAATTCTCAAATGTCCAAAATGTGGCACAGATCTAATTTTATTCTAAAATAAATACAAAACGTCAGCGTTTGTCGAGATGAAAATGTAAATTGGATTGTATGAATGCGCTTTTGTGACAGTGAAAGTGCACTTGCACATAAAGAACAGTCACATTGTTATTGTGATTTTCAGTTTCATAATTGAGTTGATAAATCCTTTTAATGTAGTCTGAAACAGGCTTTGATTTACCACGCTTAACAAAGAAGCACTGTGTCGCTTGAAGGCTCTCTGAGCCAGTTGTACTTTCTTCTTCAGCTGTTTCACTTGTCAGAGTATCTGGAGGTATCAAGCCAATCACAGATCATTTATGAGGGTGTTCAAACAGTAAAGGCTGAGAGGCTGCAAATCTGATGCTATTTTGTACTTGATTGGACATGAGTGCTAGATCTGTAGACCATAACAGTGTTAAACATTAACTCCCTGTCAGAGAACATTTTAGGTGAGATCTGCATCCATTCTCTGTCCTTTTACTACTTTTTTGCAGTTTGGAACTTTTGGAAGTTTGAAAATTGTCTAAATTATGCTTGACAGAGTTTTAGATGGTCATACTTCTGACAAGTCAGGGGCATGAATCACATAAAATGAAACCATGTCAAACAGCAACAACAACATAGTATTTTTAGCTACTGACAACATGTCATAGTTGTCATTTCAGGACAGAAGCAAAGCCAGATTCTGGGTCAGGTGTGTAGTATAGTGACACGGGTTGTTTTGGTGTTTTTCCACCTCTGCATCCATTTGCTCTGATCTGCACTCTCATCTCTCAGACAAGATTCAGGCAGCCAATTATTGTAGCGCCTCATCAGTGTGGCATTCCCGCCCTCTTAGATCACTGCACTGATTGTGAGGTTGGAAACTGAGAGGCTGCAGGTCTTCAAAAGTCTGACTGAATGATTTTTTTCATCTGAATTCAAAACCAATACCATTATATGGGACTTACTAACATTTGTAGACATTAAAACTTATCCTTTAAAATTGTGATGCATTTTAATACCGCTTGTACACTGTTTTAAGACTTTTAAAATCATTGTTTTTTAATCCAGCAGATAAAAGTAAAGATGCACCCTGCATTTATAAGGGGCGGCTCAGGTACTGACCATTGTTGGCAGAGGTTCAGTGCTCTGCTTCAGGGCTTGTCAGCCGTCCAGCTCAATATAACACAGATCTGCTGGTTCAAAGCTGGATTCCCTCTCCTCATGTTTGTGTAAATCAGTGAGATGAAATATTTTTCCCACAGCAGCAGAACAACCTGTTAAACTCCTTGTACTCACACAAAAATATATGACAGCGATACCAGTGTGAAGAAGAAAACAAGATGCTCATTATTTTTTAAAAAACAAAACTGACCTTTTATTTTTTTATCATGGGTGTGTTATGATGCCATCTTTTCTGCTTATTTCTTTGTATATTTATATATCTATAGAGATTTAACATGGCACAAGTTTCTTTTTTAACCAGTGCTGATGAGTGTAAACCAGGTAACATGTTTTTTTTTTCTGTATTTACAATAAAATGAAAGAAATGTACAAGACTCCATGGCATTACAACGCTTTGACAGTAAGTACAGATACAGTTTGATCCCTCTGTACAATCTAACATCATGTATTTACTAGATTTCTTTTTATTTTACAGATATGAGTTCATGATCCATTTTGGCTTCGGCACATACATATTCCCCATCTTGACTCTTCCGGCTGACCCTCTCGCACATGACTCACACCTTTCACCATGCTATCACAACTAGGATTTCATAAAGAAAGTAAAAACTAACATCTACACAGATCAGGACGCACGACTCATCACAGTAGTGTCCAGTCTCTGCCTTTGACAGACCCACCGAAGCATGATGCCATCTTTTTCTACTTAATAAAAAATAATTTAAAACATTCCTCTGTTTCCTTCTTTGGCACACATTCCATCTTTCCATCTGTTATCGCTCTGCTGAACTCCCCTCCATCCTTGCACATTCACCTTTAAACAAACACACTTATAAAGCCAAGTTCATGAAAAGTCTGTCAGTTTTTGTCTGCTCCAAAGCTCCTTCTTGCCTTGGGATGAGAGATTTGTGACACAGGAGCACCGTCAGACCTATACCCAGGAGTCTGGTGAGCCGGGGTACTGCTCCGCCCTGTAGGAAGGCCTCCGGGTGCTAGCGTAAAAGTCTACATAGTTGGTGGTGGTTTTCAGCCCGTGAGGCGTAGAGCTGTAGTCCACTGTGGGTGGATAGGTGATGACCTCGTCCAGATATGGGTCTTCATAGCCATGGGGATGCTGCAGGTACATTCTGTACGTGTCGTAGTTCCTCCTGCTTGGCTCGTCTGTGTAATACATGGGCTGTAAGAGAGACAGGAAGGATGATTAAATAATGCTTTTTACATCAGTGAAATCATAATGTATGAATTTTGAGCATTTTATATCAATCAACACCTTTACCTAATGTAACTACTATCAGTTTAGAAGATTTAGATTAGGGCTGAATGATCCTAAGAACAGCGTGTCCTGTGGTGTGTGCAGATGAAAAAGCCAGATCACAGGATGTGTGATGTCAGTCACATGATCTGAATGTCACTACTTCCTCAATAATCTGTGTGTAAATACAGCCCCTCATTTAAACACACACACATAACTGACTGCTGTGGAGGCAGTGTCTATATCTGTGTCACATGATCAGAAAATGTAAACATGCACGCTAACTCCTTCACAGGTAACCAGATAACAACTGAGCAAGGGATTTTAAAAGTTCTCCCATCCTCCTTGGTGCATGTTAGTGATATTGCTACACATGGGGACTGCTAAACTACAGTTACCACTGAGTGTTTACTGTCCTTGTAAGTTAAACCAATGCACCATGGGGGTTACTTTCTTTGAATTGTACTAAGGTAGACATTAGTGCTCCTCACTCTCCCTAAATGTAATACCGGCGTAAAGGATCACGCCCACCTTTTACTTAAAAAAAGATTATCTAAGTGTGTCCCCTACCTCAAGTTTCAAGGTAGTTATTACTTTTGATCATTTTAATGTTTTTGTTCTTGTTTATTTCCACCAAATTCTACTCTGTGCTCCTGCGGTGCATCACTTCAAAGGAAATATGGAAAGTTTTAATTACTTTCTTGTTTGTCTTAAAGGTATTACTACTTTTTAA